GGTCAGGCTGGGTCTCGAACTTCTTACCTTGTGATCCGCCTGCCTTGGTCTCCCAAGGTGCTGGGATCACAGGCTCGAGCCATGGCGCCCAGCCTGGTTGTTTCTTATAAGTCTTTCTTATTGGTTCTTCTCTCAGAGCTCCCTTTTTCCCTTTTGTTTCTTTCTTTTTCCATTTGCCACTAATCAAAAGGCAATCAGAACTCTTAAGATTGAAGTGCTCCCAGAACTTAGTACTTAGATCTTTTTTCTATATATATTTATATATTTTTTGAGACCGACTCTCACTCTGTTGCCGAGGCAGGAGTGCAGTGGCTTGATGTTAGCTCACTGCAACCTTCACCTCCCAGGTTCAAGCGATTCTCATGCTTCAGCCTCCTGAGTAGCTGGGACTACAGGCAGAAGCCACCAGGCCCGGCTAATTTTTGTATTTTTAGTAGAGACAGGGTTTCACCATGTTGGCCAGGCTGGTCTCGAACTCTTGACCTTAGGTGATCCTCCCACTTTGGCCTCCCAAAGTGCTGGGATTACAGATGTGAGCCACCGCACCTAGCCTTTTTTCTATTTTACGCTCATTCTTTTGGTGATCTAATGGCCTTAAATATCTCTATTCCAATGAGTCCCAGACTTTTATATCCAGTTACCTCAACATATCCAGTTGACATTTAAGAGACATATCCAGTTTTACATATCCAAAGCTGACTGTTTTTCCCTCCAAAACTGTTCCACCTACAGTCTTCCCCATTTCAGTTGACGGTAATGCTGTCCTTTCAGCTGTTCAACCAAAAACCTGAATCATTCTGGATTTTCTTATGTTCTAGATATAATCTGTGAGGAAACTCTATTGGCTCTACCTATAAAATATACCTGGAATCTAGTCAACTTCTTACTACCTCCTCTGTCACCACCCTGATCTGCCAACATATGTCACCTGGGTTAGGGCAGTAGACACCCAAATGGTCTTTCAGCTTCTACCCTGGCGTCTACTATCTAGTGCCAACCAGTACCCACCGTGATCTCTTAAAACATAAGTAGTCATTCTGCGGTTAAGAACCCTAAGCACTGTTTAGCTTTGTGTTCCAATAATGTTTGCTGGCTGGCTTCATATCTGTTTTATGAGTGTATTTCCTTTCCTATGATGTATTTTCTCTATGCATATCCTCATATGTGGCAATAGTTACCACAGTCTCTTAAACTCTGATACAGTTATGTTTACCTCTCGATATGTTTTCACTACTCCTGGGATGTCATGAAAAATCATTGCAGTCCCTGGACTCCTGGCCACTCCTACTCCAGTGACAATGTCTGTCTGTAGAATATTGTTGGCAGAAATCATCCATATCCCAGGTTCACCTAGGAAAAGACAAGAGAAAGCACTCGGCTGCAGCCTTTGATATAAATCACTCTAGACTTATTCATACTACAAATCAGCAAACTTTTCAAGCATGCAGATATCTCTTCCCAGGAGAAATGGCCAGCTTTGAAGATAACTGTTTTCTCAGTGTCAGGTTCCTCTTCATATATCATACCAGCAAAATAAAGAATCATAAGAAGAGCTACTTAGTTGGAGAATGTAACTGTTCTTCTTAGGAAAAATAAAAGCTCTTTTTACATACAGGGATAGCTTTCTGAATAAATTTTGTTTAGATGCTGCTAAGGACAAATTTGCTTTGAGCTACTGTTTGATGACAGCAAGAAAGACTGCAAAAAAGTGACTACTGGGAAGAGAAAGGATTTATTTATTTTGGCTTAAGTCTAAAGATGGCCAAGGAATGCTAAAAACTGGGTTAGAGTTTGTACTTAGCCTGCAGGACTACTGATCCTGGCATATGGCCCTTTCCTTCATCATATGATGAAGCCTCCCAAAATTCCAGATTGGAAGACTATAGGACAATCCTGTCAAAATCTAGCTAAAAAGAGTAAAAAATAGGTCGGGCACTGTGGCTCACGTCTGTAATACCAGTACTTTGGGAGGCCGAGGCTGGAAGATCACTTGAGGTCAGGAGTTCGAGACCAGCCTGACCAACATGGTGAAACTAAAATACTAAAAATACAAAAATTAGCCAGGCGTGGTGGCACATGCCTCTAGTTTCAGCTACTTGAGAGGCTGAGGCAGGAGAACCACTTGAACTCAGAAGGCGGAGGTTGCAGTGAGCCAAGATCACACCATTGCACTCCAGCCTGGGTGATAAGAGTGAAACTCCGTCTCAAAAAAACAAACAAAAAAAGAGAAAGTAAAAAAATACTCTGCTTCATTGACAAGGGATTTATAATCAGGGGATTATAACTCTCATGGTCAACCTTAAAGTAGGGTTAGCTCATTGGTCCTGGATTGCATGTTGGTAGTGGTTGTTTGCAAATCAGCTGTTATAGCATTGGGGGATTCAGCTGTATAGAGCCCCTTTGTATCAAGGTCCAAAACACGTAGTTAATGCTAAAGTCAGGTCCAACATTTACATCACTTTACCTAAACATATGTATCCGTAGTTACCAGAAGAGGCTGCAAAGCCAAAGCCATATATTACCACAAGCAGGTCTTACTTGGATGTATATATCCAGGCAGTGTACACCACTTTGGGATATGGTATTTGGAAACCCAAAGAATTCACTCATTTCCTAACCAAAAACTGATTTCTTTTTTTTTGAGAGACAGCCTGTCATTCAGGCTAGAGTGCAGTGGTGCAATCATAGCTTACTGCAGCCTTGATCTCCTGGACTCAAGCAATCTTCCCACCTCAGCCTCCCAATAGTTGGGACCAAAGGCATATGCCACCACACTGGGCTAATTTAATTATTATTATTATTATTATTATTATTTTTGAGACAGAGTCTTGCTCCGTCACCCAGGCTGGAGTGCAGTGGCGCATTCTCAGCTCACTGCAACCTCCACCCCAGGTTCAAGTGATTCTCCTGTCTCAGCCTTCTGAGTAGCTGGGATTACAGGCGTCTGCCACCACACTCGGCTAATTTTTGTATTTTTAGTAGAGTCAGGGTTTCACCATGTTGGCCAGGCTGGTCTTGAACTCCTGACCCCAGGTGGTCTGCCTGCCTTGGCCTCCCAAATGATTTTCTATGATTTTGTTTATTTATTTTGAGACGAAGTCTCACTCTGTTACCAGGCTGGAGTGCAGTGGCACAATCTGGGCTCACTGCAACCTCCGCCTCCCAGGTTCCAGAGATTCTCCTGCCTCAGCCTCCTGAGTAGCTGGGACAACAGGCATGTGCCACCATGCCCAGATAATTTTTGTATTTTTAGTACAGATGGGGTTTCACCATGTTGGCTAGGATGGTCTCGATCTCTTGACCTCGTGATCTGGCCCCTCGGCCTCCCAAAGTGCTGGGATTACAGGCATGGGCCACCGCACCTGGCTTATAATTTTATTTTTAAAATAATTATCAGTACTTAGGACAGAAATGCTTTGTTTTCAAGAGTATAGTTGGCCAGGGGCCAACCCCTTGTATGAAAACACAAAAATTAGCCAGGTGTGGTAGTGTGTGCCTGTAGTCCCAGCTACTCAGGAAGCTAAGGCAGGAGAATCACTTGAACCCAGGAGTCAAGAGGTTGCAGTGAGCCGAGATCGTGCCACTGCACTCCAGCCTGAATGACAGAGTGAGACTCTGTCTCAAAAAAAAAAAAAGTATAATTTATCTGGGTACAAGAAAAAACCTTATTACGATGATGATATGTTAGGACTTAGGCCTTCAAATGTGCCTCACAAAATAGCATACACACAACTAGTTCTTAGAACTAAAGCCTTATTGCCTTTTCCTTCCTGTTATCCTTTACTGTCCTTCAATATAGTCATTACCCTCCTTCAAAAGCTTGGAATGGAGGAAAAGACACCGTGCCCTGCACTATCTACAGGATATAAAATAGAGCTATGTATTCAATAGACTCTTGATAAATATTACTGGCTAGCTTCTAATTGGCTGCCTAGTGAGTGAAACAGGCATTAATCTAAAAATTATCAGTTAACATTACAAATAATAAAATACTCAGAAGTATTTTCTTTCTCAGGCCCTGAGATTTTAGATAATTTGGAAACAAATATTCTAGGGGATTAATTGCTTTCTTGAACTTCTGGCCTTAAGTGACCTCTCCAGCTTGACCTCCCAAAGGGCTGAGATTATGGGTATAAACCACCACACCAGTTCAAGGGATTAATAACTGCTTTTTTGTTGTTGCTGTTAAATAACTGCGTTTTAATCTTCACAACTATCAGTTGTAAGGTTGAGAAAGGGAATGTATACATACCATGCTGGCTGACAAGGTGAGTACTGAAGCAGATGACATCTCCAACAAAGTTAAGCTTGGTGTCCGGCTCAATGGCATGCTCTACAGCAACAGGAATATAATCTGCCATGCCTGGATGTCTCCGGTCCCAAAGCCCCACAAGTGTCAGCCCTCTGTTCACAGCCTGGGCCATGTAAGTATAGTTCTTATGCCCTGGTCCAATAAGCAGCAAGTCATCTCTGCAAGTAGACATTAAAGGTAGAAATCTTTCAAAAGAGAAGACAATAGTTACAAAATAGTTCTGGGGAACACCCTATCACATTTTATATTCAACAGCTGAAAAGTTCAGAAGGCATTCCACAATAAAGAGTGAGTAAGTAGGCCGGGCGCGGTGGCTCACGCCTGTAATCCCAGCATTTTGGGAGGCTGAGGCGGGTGAATCACAAGGTCAGGAGATTGAGACCATCCTGGCTAACACAGTGAAACCCCATCTCTACTAAAAAACACAAAAAATTAGCTGGGCATGGTGGCAAGTGCCAGCTACTCGGGAGGCTGAGGCAGGAGAATGGCATGAACCCGGGAGGCAGAGCTTGCAGTGAGCTGAGATCATCACTGCACTCCAGACTGGGAGACAGAGTGAGACTTCATCTCAAAAAAAAAAGAGTAAGTAAGTATGGGCCAAGGATTAGTCTATTACCTTCACATGTATAGTGCCCAAGAAGGCTTTTTTTTTTTCCCAGTAAAGCCTTTTGATAATAATACTCCAATTAGCTCCCTATGGATCTTTTAGTGAATTAGAACTTGACAGATTTAAGATATCCTGAAATTTTTCTTAAGTGACAACTAATACCATTATCTAAGTCGGGTCTTTTTTTTTTTTTTTTTTTTTTTTTAAGACAGAGTCTTAATTGGTCACACAGGCTGGAGTGCAATAGCACAATCTCTGCTCACTGCAACCTCTGCCTCCTGGGCTCAAGTGATCCTCCCACCTCAGCCTCCCTAGTAGCTGGGACTACAGGCACCCACTACCACACCCAGCTAATTTTTGTATTTTTGTAGGGATGGGGTTTCACCATGTTGTCCAGGCTGGTCTTGAACTCGTGGGCCCAAGTGATCCTCTCTGCTCAGCCTCCCAAAGTGCTGGGATTACAGGTGTGAGTCACCCACCTGGCCTCACTTAAAAAAATTTTTTTAACAAAAGAAAGATCAAATTCCAAATTCAGAATGTGAGGGGAATTTACTGGAGCTGCTATATAATACTAGCCTAATCTGCAAGATTTCTACCCTAGTGTCAATACCATTCCTTTGACTTCCATACCTGTTCAGAGCCAGATAAAGCTGGGTATTGTGTGTGTGGAATTTCTCTCCGATACTATTATAAAACTGAACAGTGAAGGTGAGAGACATGCCCAGGGGAAATGCTGACAGGGTCCTTCCTTGGGCTGTGTATAGCTTGGGTTGGCTGCTCACTCGCAGGTATGTCACCGGTGCTACCTGTGGGAAACAAAACCTACTGGTACAGAAAAAGATGCACTGGGGAAGTGCTGTAACCATATTCTGAGACTTATAATCAATGATAAAGAGTGATGTTTCTCTTCCATAGGAAATAGTTAGCTTTTGATGTGAGATGACTTAAGTCAATACGACAGCATAGCAGCATAGGAAATTCTTTTTTTTTTTTCCTTTTCTTTTTGTTTTTTGAGACAGAATCTCACTCTGTCACCCAGGCTGGAGTGCAGTGACATGATTCTGACTCACTACAACCTCTGCCTCCCAGGTTCAAGCAATTCTCCTGCCTCAGCCTCCCAGGTAGCTGTGATTACAGGCATCTGCCATCACGCCTGGTTAATTTTTGTATTTTTTGTAGAGACAGGGTTTCACCATATTGGCCAGGCTGGTCTCAAACTCCTGACCTTAAGCAATCTGTACACCTTGGCCTCCCAAAGTGCTGGGATTACAGGCGTGAGCCACTGCGCCCGGCTTGAAATGGGTTTTTAATTTTTTTTTTTTTTTTGAGATGGAATTTCGCTCTGTTGCCCAGGCTGGAGTGCAGTGGCGCAATCTCAGCTAACTGCAACCTCCGCCTCCTGGGTTCAAGCAATTCTCTGCCTCAGCCTCCTGAGTAGCTGAGATTATAGGTGCCTGCCACAACGCCCAGCTAATTTTTTGTATTTTTAGTAGAGACGGGGTTTCACCATCTTGGCCAGGTTGGTCTTGAACTACTGACCTTGTGATCCACCTGGCTCAGCTTCCCAAAGTGCTGGGATTACAGGTGTGAGCCACTGCGCCCAGCAGGGTTTTTAATTTTCAAAGCTGTGGGAATGTGAAGAGAAGCTGGAGCTTTATGAGGAAAGGACTTTAATTCATCCATTTCATGCAGAGTGCTCAATATTCATGGTTAAATAATCGATTACTTATCAGGAACACAATCTATATTGTGTTTCACACTGTAAGAGAGCTGCGATACAGTAAGTGAAGTCTAGGTTTGAATCATAGCTTTATCATTTTCATAGCCTCATGTAACTTTTCTGGGTCTCAGGTTTCTTATCAGTTAACAGTTAGATGGGGATTATAATGCCTATCTCACAGGGCTTTTGTGGTAGTTAAAAGAGATAATATACATACAACGACCAATATAGTATATAGTAGATGTTTAATGTCTAAAATTTTTTTTTTTCTTGTTAAGACTAACTTATCTCTGAGATCTTTTCTCATTTTTTTAATTCTAGTAGCAAAGCTTAATTTTTTAAAAAGAGACAGATTGTTGCTTTGTTTTCTAGGCTGCAGTGCAGCAGTTCAATCATAGCACGCTGCAGCCTCAAACTTCTAGGTTCATGCGATCCTCCACCTCAGCCTCCCAAGCAGCTAGGACTGCAGGCATGCGCCACCAAGGCTGGCTATTTTTTTTTTTTTTTTTTCATTTTTTATAGAGATAGGGGTCTCACTATGTTGCTCAGGCTGGTCTCAAATTCCTGGCCTCAAGTGATTCTCCTGCCTCAGCCTCCCAAAGTGCTGAGCTTACAGGCATGAGTCACCAAGCCCAGCCGATTTTGATAGCAATCGTTCTACACTCCTCTGACACGAACCCTTTTGCCAAAGCTGCTAGGAAGACAATCATATAAATTTAGGCTGATCTGTTTTATAACAAGGGGTCTAAAGGTCATTTTAATTTTATGGCATATGTCAAGACTGGCCTCTTATAGGTTCATTTCTGACTCCCAGAGATTTCTTCTTTTTTTTTTTTTCCCCTGGTTCATGTTCTCTCATGATAGAGAAGTTTCTAATTCTTTTCTTTTTCTTTTTTTCCTTAATGCATGATAAGAAAATTTCTAGTTTTGGCCGGGCGCGGTGGCTCAAGCCTGTAATCCCAGCACTTTGGGAGGCTGAGACGGGCGGATCACGAGGTCAGGAGATCGAGACCATCCTGGCTAACACGGTGAAACCCCGTCTCTACTAAAAAATACAAAAAACTAGCTGGGCGAGGTGGTGGGCGCCTGTAGTCCCAGCTACTCGGGAGGCTGAGGCAGGAGAATGGCGTGAACCCGGGAGGCGGAGCTTGCAGTGAGCTGAGATCCGGCCACTGCACTCCAGCCTGGGTGACAGAGCAAGACTCTGTCTCAAAAAAAAAAAAAAAAAAGAAAATTTCTAGTTTTTCAAAAAAGGAACTCTGCTTCTTAAGGGTATGCCTTTTATTTATTTGTTTTTTTTAGTAAGTCCCTGAACTCACCTGGACCCCGGTTATGGTTGTTTGGTTGACTCCAAAAGGTTCTATAGAAGTGACTTCCAATACAGCAGTACCTGCAATGGAACCAGCTTTCAGGAGCCCTTCACCAACCTCCTCAATGACGGATGAATTAGGGAAACACTTGAGAACACGAGAACTCACAAAGGCAGCTCCTTCCCTAGGGAACAAGTAAAGAAAGTGGCATCTTTTGGGGGTCCTGTCTGACCAGAGAGAAAAGGGTAAAAATTTCCAGGATCACTGTTAGGGGATGTACTCGAGAAAACTGCTTGCCATTCTCCACGTGTGTAATTATTTGTTCCTCAGATAAAAGTCTGCCTTTGGATTATGCTTATTTATTTAAAATCAAATCTTTTATCATTAAAAAATTATTTAGGCCGGGTGTGGTGGCTCACATCTGTAATCCCAGAACTTTGGGAGGCCAAGGCGGGAGGGTCACCTGAGGTCAGGAGTTTGAGACCAGCTTGGCCAACATGGTAAAACCCTGTCTCTACTAAAAAAAAAAAAAAGGCCGGGCGCGGTGGCTCACGCCTGTAATCCCAGCACTTTGGGAGGCCGAGGCGGGCGGATCACAAGGTCAGGAGATGGAGACCACGGTGAAACCCCGTCTCTACTAAAAATACAAAAAATTAGCTGGGCACGGTGGCGGGTGTCTGTAGTTCCAGCTACTCAGGAGGCTGAGGCAGGAGAATGGCGTGAACCCGAGAAGCGGAGCTTGCAGTGAGCCGAGATCTGGCCACTGCACTCCAGCCTGGGCGACAGAGCGAGACTCCGTCTCGAAAAAAAAAAATTTTGCCGGGTGTGATAGCTGGCGCCTGTAATCCCAGCTTCTCGGGAGGCTGAGGCAGGAGAATGGCTTCAACCCGGGAGGCAGAGGTTGCAGTGAGCCGAGATGGCACCATTGGCCACTGCACTCCAGCCTGGGCGACAGAGCGAGACTCCGTCTCGAAAAAAAAAAATTTTGCCGGGTGTGATAGCTGGCGCCTGTAATCCCAGCTTCTCGGGAGGCTGAGGCAGGAGAATGGCTTCAACCCGGGAGGCAGAGGTTGCAGTGAGCCGAGATGGCACCATTTGTACTCCAGCCTGGCCGACAAGAGTAAAACTCCATCTCAAAAAGAAAATTATTCAGCCAAAACAATTGAAAGCAGGTATTCAAGTAAATACTTGCAAATGAATATTCATAGCAGCACTATTCACAATAGCCAAACGGTGAAAACAACACAAATTTCTTTTCTTTTTTTTTTTTTGAGATGGAGTTTCGCTCTTGTTGCCCAAGCCAGAGTTCAATGACGTGATCTCGGCTCACTGCTGCCTCCACCTCCAGGGTTCAAGTGATTCTCCTGCCTCAGCCTCCTGAGTAGTTGGGATTACAGGCATGCACAACCACACCTGGCTAATTTAGTGTTTTTAGTAGAGTTGGGGTTTCTCCATGTTGGTCAGGCTGGTCTCGAACTCCCAACCTCAGGTAATCCACCAGCGTTGGCCTCCCAAAAGCCTGGGATTACAGGCGTGAGCCACTGTACCCAACCCCAAATTTCTATTAGGAGATGAAATTATAAACTAAATGTGGTATTTCCATATAATGGAATACTATTCAGTCATAAAAAGGAAGAAGTACTGATACATGCTACAACATGGATGAACCTCAAAAACATTATGCTAACTTAAAGAAGCCAATACAAGGCTGGGCACAGTGGCTCACGCCTGTAATCCCAGCACTTTGGGAGGCCAAGGCAGGCGGATCGCCTGAGGTCAGGGGTTCAAGACCAGCCTGGCCAACATGGTGAAACCCCATCTCTACTAAAAATACAAAAATTAGGCGGGTGTGGTGGCAGGCACCTGTAATCCCAGCTACTCGGGAGGCTGAGGCAGGAGAATTGCCTGAACCCAGGAGGTGGAGGTTGCAGTGAGCCGAGATTGCGCCACTGTGCTCTGACCTGGGCAACAGAGCAAGACTGTCTAAAAAAAAAAAAAAAAAAGAAACCAACACAAAATGTTGCATATTGTATGATTCCATTTATATGAAATACATTCAGGATAGCTAATACCGTACACAGAAAGCAGATGAGTGATTGCCAGGGGCTGCGAGCAGGAAAGAAGGAAGAGTGACTGCTTCATAGGTATGGGATCTCCTTTGGTGGTGATAAAGATATTTGGAACTAGATGGAGATGCTGAATACACAATATTGTGAATGTACTAAATGCCACTGAATTTTACACTTTACAATGGTTTTACATTATGGAAATTTCACCTCATACAAAAAATTATTTGGGGGTTAGAAAAATCTCCTAGAAGGCAAAGGTGTTCTTTCTATGTCAATGTTTTACTGAAAATACTTAAGCTTGGATCCTGGCGCTTCCTTATTCTCTCTTTTCCTTACCTGTTGGTATGGAGTTTGAGCTGAGAATTTATAGGCATCAGAATCTGCTCTGGTTGGCACTCTGGATAGAAGAGTTGGAGTTTTTCGAACACCTATAATGAGAAAATAATGCATTCCTCATATTTGGCAAAGACAAATTATGACTTTTACTTACACATGGACTTCAGTATAATCCCCAAGAGATTAACATGCAAATAAATGACAACTACAAATCAACAGTCTGCCTAACTTCTAATAAGTCTAAAATCATCCACAATACTCCTCTCCAAAATGAACCAGGCACTCAAAACATAACTAGGTATTCTAGAAGATATAACCTAATGTTAGCCGTTTCTGACTCTGAGGGACTGAGCATGTAGCAAAGTTTACACTTACCACATCTTCCATATTACTTAGATATTAGGTATAAAATTACTTCGAAATTTCTAATTCTAGCTCTTGTAAAATGACATGAAGTTTGAGAAAAAGAACCTATAATATTCAATTAGCATGAAACACCATCCAGGTCTTCCACCTTCTAGTAAAGTACTCTTTCCTCTACTCCACATTGAATCAGAGAACCAAAGCCAAAATAAAGGAAAAAATAAAAAAAGTGAAAGAAAAAAAAGTCTCAAAATCAGAGGCAGTGAAACTTACTTGACCCATATAAGTGATAACTTGTTTTCTGAATTCTAAAAACAACAGAAACATTTAGCTTTTAGCCTGAGAGTATCTGTAGAAACTATTCATAATCTTACACCTTATGAAAAGTTAGAATTATGTTTTATCCTAACTGTGAATATATTTAAATGGACTTATATCAGCTGGACACAGTGGCTCATGACTGTAATCCCAGCACTTTGGGAGGCCGAGGAGGGCAGATTATCTGAGGTCAGGAGTTCGAGACCAGCCTGGTCAACATAATGAAACCCTGTCTCTACTAAAAATACAAAAATTAGCCAGGCATGGTGGCATGTGCCTGTAATCTCAGGTACTCAGGAGGCTGAGGCAGGAGAATCACTTGTACCTGGGAGGCAGAGGTTGCAGTGAGTCGAGATCATGCCACTGCACTCCAGCCTGGGCAACAGAGTAAAACTCTCTCTCTAAATAAATAAATAAATAAAAATTTTAAATGGACTTATAATATCTATGTAAGGTGGAGTGGATCAGAAATGAATCCTTCTCTAATTACTGTGGTGTTCATATCCTGTGTTCCTGGTATGGGGAGTTGAAGGGAGTGTGTGTGCTACAGTTTCTTTTCTTTTTTTTTTCAGACTGCTCACCTGCAAGTACTAATAGTTTCTGATGTCAATAGTATATAAAAGCAGGCGGGCATGGTGGCTCACGCCTATAATTCCAGCACTTTGGGAGGCCAAGGCAGGTGGATCACTTGAGGTTAGGAGTCTGAGACCAGCCTGGACAATGTGGCGAAACCCCATCTCTACTAAAAATACAAAAATTAGCCAGGCATGGTGGCGGGCGCCTGTAATCCCAGCTACTTGGGAGGCTGAGGCAGGGAGAATTACCTGAACTCTGCAGTGAGTGGAGATTGTGCCACTGCACTCCAGCCTGGGCGACAGAGTGAGACTCTGTCTCAAAAATAAAAAACAGGCCGGGCATGGTGGCTCATGCCTGTAATCCCAGCACTTTGGGAGGCCGAGGCGGGCGGATCATGAGATCAGGAGCTCGAGACCATCCTGGCTAACACGGTGAAACCCCATCTCTACTAAAAATACAAAAATTAGCTGGGCGTGGTGGCAGGCGCCTATAGTCCCAGCTACTTGGGACGCTGAGGCAGGAGAATGGTGTGAACCCAGGAAGAGGAGCTTGTAGGGAGCCGAGATTGTGCCACTGCACTCCAGCCTGGGCGACAGAGCGAGACTCCATCTCAAAAAAAACACCAAAAACCAAAAAACAAAAAAAACAAAAAACAGGCCAGGCGCGGTGGCTCACGCCTGTAATCCCAACACTTTGGGAGGCTGAGGCAGGCGGAGCACTTGAGGTCGGGAGTTTGAGACCAGGTTGACCAACATGGAGAAAGCCCGTTTCTACTAAAATTACAAAATTAGCTGGGCTTGGTGGCACACGCTACTCAGGAGGCTGAGGCAGGAGAATCGCTTGAACCTGGGAGGCGGAGTTTGCAGTGAGCCGAGATCGTGCCATTGCACTCCAGCCTGGGCAACAAGAGCGACACTCTGTCTCAAAACAAAACAAAAACAAAAACAAAAACTATATACAAGCAATCAGCAGGAATGATAAAGATCTAGGAAGTACAAACCTGTTCTCAGAATCGCTCTAACAATTATCTGTCTCTATCCAAAATAAGCTCTTCGTTGATGGTAAGAGAATATAACTTTCTTATCCTTAATATACGAAAAAAAGATTTAGATTTGGAAGCTTACCAGGATCTGTACTTCATCAGAGAGTTCCAACAAATTCCCCTCAAACTGCTCAGAGGAACTGTTCATGCAGTGAACAGTGACCTTGATACTGGTCCGGCCTGCTGCTTTTGTGTGGACAACCATGGCAAAGTTATGCTCTACTGGGAGCTGTAGAAAAACCTAGACAGCGAAGGGATAGATTAAGAAATATTCATGATAAACATGGTGTCTTCCTTTTATTTTTTTTTTAACTTTTTTAATATTAAACTTTTTTAAATTAAAAATAAAAAGTCAGGGAAGGGTAGGAGAGGGTGAGGGATAGAAGACTACAAATAGGGTGCAGTGTATACTGCTCGGGTGATGGGTGCACCAAAATCTCACAAATCACCACTAAAGGGCTTACTCATGTAACCAAATACCACCTGTACCCCAATAACTTATGGAAAAATTAAAATTAAAAATAAAATTTAAAAGTCGCTCAGGCTGGAGTGCAGTGGAACAATCTCAGCTCACTGCAGCGTCGACCTCCCGGGCTCTGGTGATCTTCCCACCTCAGCCTCCCTAGTAGCTGGGACTACAGGGGCATACCACCACACTCAGCTAATTTTTGTATTTTTTGTAGACATAGGGTTTCGCCATGTTGCTTAGGCTGGTCTCGAACTCCTGGCCTCAAGTGATCTGCCCACCTCAGCCTCCCAAAGTGCTGGGATTACAATTAATTGTTTGTTTTTATTTTTAATTTTTGTGGCTACATAGTAAGCATACATATTTATGGGGTACATGAGATACTTTGATACAGGCATAGAACTTGTAATAATCACATCAGGGTAAGTGGGGTATCCATCACCTCAAGCATACTTTAAGTTGAAACCTTTTTTGTTTTTTTTTGAGACAGGGTCTTGCTCTGTTGCCAAGACTGGAGTGCAGTGGTGAAATCATGGCTTCCTGTGGCCTCGACCTCCTGGGTTCAAGCAATCCTCCCACCTCAGTCTCTCAAGTAGCAAGGACCACAGGCATGTGTCCCCATGTGTCAATTAGCCCAGCTAATTAAAAAAAAATTTTTTTTTTCTAAAAACAGGGTCTCCCTATGTTGCCCAGGCTGGTCTCAAACTCTTGGGCTCAAGTGATCCTCCTGCCTCAGCCTCCTAAAGTGTTGCAATTGCAGGTGTGAGCCGCTGTGTCCAGCTGCATTTACAGACACGATTATACTCTTTTAGTTATTTTATTTTATTTTGAGATGGAGTCTTGCTCTGTTGCCCAGTTTGGAGTGCAATGACATGATTTCAGCTCACTGCAACCTCCGCCTCCCGGGTTCAAGCAATTCTCCCTGTCTCAGTCTCCCAAATAGCTGGAATTACAGATGCCTGCCAACATGCCCAACTAATTTTTGTATTTTTAGTAGAGACAGGGTTTCACCATGTTGGCTAGGCTGGTCTCAAACTCCTGACCTCAGATGATCCACCCGCCTCGGCCTCCCAAAGTGCTGGAATTACAGGCGTGAGCCCCTGCACCTGGCCTCGTTATTTAAAAATATATGATAAGTTATTGTTGACTGTACTCACCCTGTTGTGCTATCAAATACTAGATCTTATTCATTTAATCTAACTATATTTTTGTACTCATTAAGCATCCCCACTTCCCTCCCACCCGCCCACTATGCTTTCCAGCCTCCAGTAACCATCATTCTACTCTGTCTCCATGAGTTCAATTGTTTTCATCTTTAGCTCCCACAAATAAGTGAGACATGCAAAGTTTGTCTATCTATACCTGGCTTATTTCACTTAACATAGTGTCTCCAATTCCATCATCCATGTTGTTGCACATGACAGGATCTCATTTTTTTTTTTTTTTTTGAGACAGGGTCTTGTTCTGTTGCCCAGGTTGAGTACAGTGGCACAATCATGGCTCATTGCTGCCTCAATCTCCAGGGCTCAAGTGCTTCTTCTGCCTCAGCCTCTCAAGTAGCTGGGACTACAGGCATGCACCACTGTGCCTGGCTAAATTTTTTAAAATTTATTTTTTTGTAGAGATCGAGTCTCACTATGTTGCCTAGGTTGGCCTCAAACTCCTGGGCTCAAGTGGTCCTCCCACCTTGGCCTTCCAAAGTGCTGAGATTACAGGTGTGAGTTATGGTGCCCAGCCATCTCATTCCTTTTTTATGGCTAAGTTGTACTCCATTGTGTATATACACCCCATTTTCTTTATCCAATCATCTATTGATGGACACTTAGGTTGCTTCCAAATCTTGGCCATTGTGAATAGTGCTGCAGTAAATATGAGAGAGCAGATATCTCCTTGATATAATGATTTCCTGTCTTTTGGGTATATGTCTAAGAGTGGGATTGTTGGGATCATATGGTAGTTTGGTAGTTCTATATTTAGTTTTTTGAAAACCTCCGAACTATGCTCCATAGTGACTGTACTAATTCACATTCCCATCAACAGTATATGAGGGTTCCCTTTTCTCTACATCCTTGCCAGGATTCATTGTTGCCCCTCTTTCAGATATAAGCCATTTTAACTGAGGTGAGATGATATCTTATTGTAGTTTTGATTTGCATTTCTCTGATGATCAATGATGTTGAGCACCTTTTCATATACCTGTTTGCCATTGGTATGTCTTTTTTTTTTGGTGGGGGACACAGTCTCGCTCTGTCACCCAGGCTGGAGTGCAGTGGCACAATCTCAGCTCACCGCAACCTCCACCTCCTGGGCCCAAACAATTCTCCTGCCTCAGCCTCCCCCAGTAGCTGGGACTACAGAAGCATGCCACCAAACCCAGCTAATTTTTGTATTTTTCACAGAGATGGGATTTTGCCATGTTGGCCAGGCTGGTCTCAAACTCCTAACCTGCCTAACCTGTGATCCACCTGCCTCGGCCTCCCACAGTGCTGGGATTACAGGCGTGAGTCACCGCATCTGGCCTGTATGTCTTCTTTTAAGAAATATCTAAGGCTGGGCCTTAGATCCCATTTGTCAATTTTTGCTTTGGTTGCCTGTGTTTGTGGAGTATTACTCAAGAAATCTTTGCCCACTCCAATGTTCTGGAGAGTTTCCCCAATGTTTTCTTGTAATATTTTCATACGTTGAGTCTCAGATTTAAGTCTCTGATACATTTTGATTTTATTTTTGCATATGGTGAGAGATAGGGGTGTAGTTTCATTCTTCTGCATATGGATATCCAGTTTTCCCAGCACCACTGATTGAAGAGACTGTTTTTTCCCCAATGTATATTCCTGGCACCTTTGTTAAAAGTGAGTTTCCTGCAGGTGTATGAATTTGTTTCTGGGTTCTCTATTCTGTTACATTGGTCTATATGTTTGTTTTTATGCCAGTGCCATGCTGTTTTGATTACTATAGCTCTGTCATATAATTTGAAGTCAGGTAATGTGAGTCTTCCAGTTTTATTCTTTTTGCTGAGGATGGCTTTGACTATTCTGGGTCTTTTGTGGTTCCATATAAATTTTAGAATTATTTTTTCTATTTCTGTGAAGAATGTTACTGATATTTTGATAGGGACTGCATTGAATCTGTAGATTACACTGGGTAGTATGGGTATTTTAACAATATTGATTCTTCCAATCCATGAACATGGGATATCTTTCCATTTTTTTGTGTGTCTTCTTCATTTATTTTCTTTCTTTATTTTTTTGAGATGGTATCTAGCTCTATTCCCCCATGCTGGAGTTCAATGGCATGATCTCAGCTCGCTGCAACCTCCGCCTCCTGGGTTCAAACGATTCTCATGCCTGGCCATGAATAATCTTTTTAATGTGGTGTTAAATTCAGTTTGCTAGTATTTTGATGAGGGTTTTTGCATCAATGTTCATTACAGATATTAGCCTTTAGTTTTCTTTTTTTGATAGGTCTTTGCCTGTTTTTGTTATCAGGGTAATACTGGCCTCATATAATGAGTTTAGTTGTATTCTCTCCTCCTCTATTTTTCAGAATAGTTTGAGTAGGATTGGTATTAGTTCTTCTTTAAATATTTGGTAAAATACAGCAGTGAGACCATTAGGTCCTGGGCTTTGTTTTGGTGGGAGACTTTTTTATTTTTATTTTATTTTTTATTTTTGAGACGGAGTCTCACTCTGTCACCCAGGCTGGAGTGCAGTGGCATGATCTCGGCTCACTG